TTTCATAGTTGGTAGGTTAGCTGAGCCTTTGGTGTTATATGTTTGGAACAAGAAGAATTCACGCCGGATTTTCCCTAGCTGCTCCCCGGAGTGTTGCTCGAGCGACTGAAGCAAAAACTACCTCGCTCGATTTTCGTCCCACTGTCGCTCGAGGGACAGACCCTTCGCTCGAGCGAAGAAGCCACTTCACTCGAGCGACGTATTATACTGGGAAACTTAATTTTCTATTCCCGAGTTTTTTACTTGACTCATACAACCTAATTCGTCAAACCTATATATTGAAAGCGCCATATTTTCTGAAAGATGAGATTGAACATACAACTATTAAGAGAGAAAACATCCTACATAAGATCAAAGTTCAATCCTTCCACTAATATGTGCTCTATTATTGAAAACATAAAAGCTATCAAATCAAACACTGAATTGATCTCTTTGCTTGGGTCTGCTGCAAGATTGTGTCGTCAATTGTGCTACATTAAAGATCAAGAAAGAGTTTGAAGAATAAGGAGTTCTTGGGAAAGATCTACATGAGATAGACTGCGTAAAAAGTCAGGATTGGAGTTCATGTGCTTATTCCATGAGAACTGCTTTACAAAGAAGAGCCAAAATTGGTGTTGATTTGCACATTCTAGGAGGGCTGCTTCATATTTCAGACAAAAGATCAGAAAGCTTGTGTTGTCAACTTTGCTGGTAGTCTGTTAGTTATATTGACAGTTTATAGTGGATCTTTGACTGGCAAAGTGCCCGGAGTTTTTCCCACGTTGGGTTTCTCCGTGAACAATTCTGGTGTTGTTTATTGTTTTATTTACTGTTTTGACATTACTGCAGCATTTCAACATAGGACAAATTGAATTGTTTGACTAATCACCTGTACATAATTAACTTGTGACTTGTTGTATGTTAATCAAGTATTAATTCCGCATTTACACGTAATTACCCCCTTCTAGGTGTAGTAGGGTCCAATCTTGCGTTTCTCATTCTCAAACTTGTTCTAGTTTCAAACACAGTACTCAATCTTCAATATTCAAAATACGCTGTACCAACATTTCTACACAATTATCTAATTGATTACACCACAAGTATTGTACATGCAGTGACTTGATTATCTCGTGTAGTGAAATACATCAAAAGACTAGTGAAAAACTGAGTTTACCCTTAAAGATGCATCATCCTAACCTGTGAAAAGCTTAAATGCTGTAGGTTTTATCCGTTTTTCTGTTATCCAAAAAAGATCGGATTTTTGCAGGCTATAAAGCCCTGGGTCGACTATCACGGGCGTGGCTCTCTGCAACCTAGCAAATTGAAACACATTTTATAAGGAAACTGCAGGACCACATTTTTTACTTGTTAGATACTGTGAACAAATAAACAAACTAAAATCTTGTATTTTGTACTGTTCAATGTTGTCCAATAATGCGTATTCCTTGAAACTGATAAAATATTTCACAATCGACACGAGGGAAAGGAATACATACTCTTTCCAGCCAATGTCACTAGTGTGCTCAATAAAATTAAGGTCTCTTGGAATAGTTGATAAAGTATGAAGCAAATCTGTTCCCAACACAATAAAACACAAACTCAAGACATTAGAAAGTTCAAATGAAGCATTTGCTTAATTATTCCAAAAATTGCAGCAAACAATTAATCATGTTGGGCTAACCTAAAAAAAGAGTAAAAATTGCTTTTAAGTAACTTTTTTCTTGCCAATGTGTCGAAATAAGCTGAAGTTTGTGTATTTTCAACTTAAACAATTGGAGTTCCAAGAAAATAAATAAATCCATTAAAATACTGCATTTGTCCAACTAAACAATAGAAAAATAAGCATATGATTCATCAAAAAAATATACCATCTTGAGTCACCAAAGGATAATCAGAAGCACTCAAATTGATAAACCAATCCCACTCTCCACCTTCTTTCAACAAAATGGCAGCAGCATGAAGTGTATTCGTAACCATAGTGGGGCCTCTGTAGGTAACCAAATTAGATTTTTTCACAACCCTCACATTCCCAAATTGCACAAATAATTGCTCATTTTTCACAAACTTCACCAACTCAATTCTCTCCTCGGCTGTTGCCTCAAGATCCAAGTGCAAAACATACTGGTTTGATGGATGATAAAGGGCTTTTAGTGTCCTCTTTAGACTCTCAAAATCCCCACTTGATCCTGAGATCAAATAGGCCAGTTTTGGAGTTCTTGAACTGGGCAGTATTGGGGTTTTATGTAGCTTTGATTCAACAAAAATTGGAATTTGAGGTTTGATTTTGGTGGGTTTTTTGTGTAATGGGGTATCAGTGAAAAGGGTTAATATTATGAGTAAAGAGGATATCAAGAGGGAAAAAACTAATGGGAGGAACCATTTTTTCTTTTGTAATGGTTTGTTAAGTTCCATGGTGGAGTGCTACTCCAAGAATTGTGCTTCACTTCTGGTTTTACATGGAATTGTATAATTCCCCCCACAAACTTTTATTTGGACTTCTTGTGGGTTTTTTCAGAATAAAAAGTGTAGGGGTAGTTTTTAATCTTTAACATATTCTGTACTTTTATTTCCTCACATTTATATTTTCACTCTTAGCTTTTAGTTGCGCAGGCCCTATTCCCACTTTGATCTTTGATGTTTCTTCGGCTCTTTAGATTCGACACCTTTGATTAGACTCCCTTATTTGATTTCATCGTCATTTCGTGATTGCAGTCCAGTTGGATATAATTAGCTGGTCGGGAAGCGACAGCTGTAGTAGACCGGACGATCATTTGCTCATATTGGATTTTTTTTTTCATGCTTTGGCCGACATTTTGGATAGAAATGCCTAAAAATGAAGGCTAAATGAAAAAATTTCAAAATTAAAAACTTGGTATTTGAAAATGGAACGATGCTACATGCATGGGGAAAATTTACAGAATGTCAGATGGAAACATTTCGGGTGTGTTTGTCTCCCATTTTTCTCCGAAAAATGGAGCAGTGAATAATATTTTTTGGAGAATGTGGGGTTGAAATTTAAAGTAACTTTATTGATTTGTGTGTTGAATATTTTATTTGGGTGAATGTGTGGTGAAGAATTAACCTGTAGCAAACAATTTTCAGATTAATGGTAGACAATCACACCCTTCATTGAATTTTTGGAAAAAATATAGGTAAGCAGCCAATCAAATATGAAATATCAACGCCCGTAAAATCACTTGTGCGTTTCTTCTTTACAAATGGTAAAACCCTTGAAATGTGTGGTGGTAGAAAAAAATTATGAATTTTTATGGGCTATTTGGTATTTTGAAAAGTCGAAAATTGTTATTGAGATAATATTTTAAAGTATCGTGTGATTAGAAGAATTTTTAGAGAAAATCGAATTCAAAATTTCTCTTGAAAGAGACAGATATGAAAGCAAATAGCTTGTCAATGGGGCCTAAATGTGTGGTGGGAGTGTTCGTCGGGGAAGTGAAGAAGATATTTTGAATTCCACTAGCAGTAGACTTGAGAAAGGCTCACGTGGTTGCTTTCGTATAAAAGTCTAAAAGAGAAGAAAATTAGAGCAATAGAATAATAACAAATGTACGTGCCTTTTCCTCATTGGTTGATTAAAAGTGATGTGCTGCACAAAGGAATCGGCTTATTCGCCCCCAATCTTTTAAAATTTTGCGTAAATGCCCCTATCTTTGTATTTTGGTGCAACACATCCCCAACCATCCGAAAATTAGCACGAAATGATTTCAACGTTAAATGAGTCGTGTGGACTGTGCACGCGGGTTTTTTAAAGTATGGTGAAATGGTCGAGCCACTTAGCTTGTGTTTGGAAAGACTGAAACTTATAAATGAGTTAGAAATTGTGACACGGTTGTCGCATGACAAGTTGTGATTTATGGTCTCTAAAGTCAGCTCGATCAAATTACACAAGTCTACATACCTTTTTTTAATCTTGTATTGGCTAATTATATAACAATTGCGCTACACGTATGGGTCAACTAACAAAAAAGCTAAGTTTGTGATTTATATATATTCGTAGTAAAGACTACACAGTCTTTATATATATATATATATATATACACACACACGACAGTTTGTGATTTGATACACAAATCAATAAAAAATTACTACATTAATGTGTCAATTCACAAACCGTCACATATATGTCACGTAGAAAGACTATTGATAATTTTCACTGCAAATACTATTATTCAATAAAAAAGGGATTGTGCTAATTGTGAGGCTGATATGGCTTTAAAAAAAATAAAAACCCACTGTATCAAAACACCCACTCACGTGCTCTCCACTTTAATTCCCCCAAAACAGAAGACTACTAAATAAATTTATTGGTGGTTACCAATTCATTTTTTTTTTATGTTTTTGTCACAATTTTGAGGTCATTACGAGATGTTAATGAAATCGAAATATTGCATTTTTAATGTCATTTTAAAGTGTTAACGAACTAAGTTTTCACGTTTCTAACGACGCATGAAACAATCAACCGTAGCAAAAAGTTACGGCACGCCGAATTAGCCTATTTCAAATGAAGATTTCAAGAATTTCGATAACATATTAACTTTAAAAAAATTTCGACGAACATTTGCTACGATCAACCGTTTCATGAGTCGAAGAATTTTTAAAATGAATATGTTATCGAAATTCTCGAAATACTAGTTTGAAACGGGGTACTTTGACATACCGTAACATTTGTTACAATTAGTCGTTTTATGTGTTGTTAATGTAGAAAACAAGGCCGTGAGCACTTTGAAATGATATTAAAAATACAATATTTCGATTTCATTTGATATACTATAATGACCACGAAAATTGAGACAAAAACGTAAAAAAATTAATTGGTAACTACTGATAAATTTATTTCGTTGTCTTCTATTTTGGGGAAATAAAGTGCACGTGAGTGGGTGTTTTGA